AAGAAGCTCCTACTTTCTTTCGCGAACTTTTAATTACCTCCGATAGTTTCCTCGCTTATAACCGTAGTAAATATTGCATCGAAGAAAACAATTTACGATATCTTTATACAATATATATTTCTATTGTTTCCTCGAGTTAATTGCTGTTAGAAAAGTATTGCGCGTGGGAAGCCTAAGTACCCCAACTTATCACAGCGACCTTTTGCGCCACTTTTCGCGATACACGTGCGCGCACATTAAATACCAGTTTGTCTTCAGCATGCACAGAGAAAACACAACTCCCTTGAAGGTAACACAGAAACACGCGAGGAGATATTATTTTAATATTTTGTAAACTTTGACTGAGAGGGTCACTTCCAGCACGTTTCGTGGTGTAGATCTGTTCTGAATGTTTCTCTATTACATCCTATCGCATAGTGATACGATCGAAGTATTCAACGAATTTTGCAACATTGAAATCTACCTACTTCAGACACGCGTACTTATTGCAAAATATGTTACGAAATATTTACAACATTGTTAATTAAAAAATTTCTTATTACTGCAATATTTTTTTTTTTCTTTCTTGGAATATTAATATAATTTCGGAAATGATACCGGGTGAAAAATTCGTGTCTCGTTTAAAATGTGTTTCGATCTTTCGAGAAGTGACGTATGTATGTTTATGTTAATAGATCTTTCCTTGATTTGTGAAATATTGAAATTTCGTGGTTGCAGTTCGTTTGTTGTGTTTTATTTAGAAAGTTGTTTACTTTATCGTACGTGGCCACAACTACCCTCAGGGCACCCGGTGTACAGTAGCTGGATCAATACTTATATGTGGGCATATAAGTCACAGAAAATGGTATGAACCATGCGATACGATAAGCTGCAAGTGCCCGGTCTTTCTTTGACAATGAAGTATTAAAAAATAAGTTATTACCATACTGCATGAAGGTGCCATAAATCTACCGGGTGTAATCTCGTTTACAACGTTAAATCGGTACGTCGCGTACGTTTGGACTTGCTAAAATTTAATATAGCATTCGATGTGTGATATTGAAAAAAATGGTAGAAGTATAACTGGAAAATGGAAATGATATTTATTGAAATAAATTGTTAATTTCATCGTTTCGGTACTTTCGTCGCGTTCAGGACATATTCCTGTTTCGTATCTTTTATTTCTTTTCATTTATCAAATTTCTACATTTATTGAAATATATTCATTTCACTAAATTATGACGGCTCGGTGCATTGTTTGCTACAAATTGCGATAGTTTTGTGTTGTAGTATTTCTTGAAATTTTCACTTCAAATTAACTATATTTTATCCATTGTCACATATTATTCCACTTTTTGTACGTACATATTTGTGTGCTATTAATGCTGATATATATTTGCTTGAGTTTAGGCTCGTGAAAAACTTAAACTTTACTCTAATCTAAGGTTTCTAAAATTCAGCAATTACAATCTCACTTAATACTATTCTTCGCATACTACTCTAATCTAAGGTTCCTAAAATTCATCAATTTGTTCCTCCACGTAAACAAATATCTGCTATTATATTCCAATATTCAGGTGTACTAAATAATGAAATTTTCCATCGTTTAAAAATATCTCGATCCATTTGAAAAAATTAGGGGGAACAACTAACGAAAATAATTTAAAATAATTAAAAAGAATCAAGAGCGATGACAAATGAAAGTTTAAATTAGCAGCAAGGTTTAAGGTACAAATTCTTTCCTCAAGCCTCGAAGAGGATTAACCTGCAGATTAGGTGTATTTTGACGTCAGACCGATCTCACCACCTCACTGTTATCGCTTCCACCGACTATACCGAATGTCACGCGCGCCTTGTGTACGGATAATCATCGCCGACTCCTATGTTATAACCCACTCTTTCTCTCGTAGGCCACGAAAAATCACCGCAACGCAGTTTTAATTACTTCCCCGTGGTGGAAATGCTGTCTGCACGAGTGGGAGACATTAAAACTCGCGGCAAAGGAGAAAAAGGAACGGATAAAGAGGCCTCGTTATTACTTCAGTTTCACGTTCTGCAATTTTTTTTTACAACAAAATATTCACTCGCCGGGTCGAAAGAATCGCTAGGAACGTGAGATAAATATTGTTGATGTCTGTTACACTGCTTGTGATTATTTTCGTGACGTATTGGATCAATTTACAAACTGTCCGCCGTGCAAAGGATTTTTTCCTTTACGTGACAGTTGCTTGGGAAAATTATAATTATTCGATATATTTAACAATAATTTACTTATCATTATTTAACAATTATTTGTTACAATTTAAATGTAACAATTATCTGAGAATTTACTTATGTTTTGGTGTCTGAAAAGTTGGTTAATTTAATTCGGTTCTTAACAGACTACTTTAGAGATTAATTTAATTTTGGTTTAGTCTCTTTAGAGACTACTTTAGAGACTCTCGGTGTAAATATCTGCAACTACCAGCCAATTTACACCAATATTCAATCTCCTACCAATTCTCTACAGATTTCAATAGCAATTTACCTCATTTCGATCGATTTAAATGACAAAAAACGTCGTTAAAAAATTCCTACAATTGCTGACATATTTCTGGAAATTTTCGTACAGCTTTCAATGCACAGTGATTCCAATACTTTTTGCCTGTCGTGTATATAGGTGCTAAATTTCTCGTAGTGTGTGCTTATACTTACGCGTAACTCATAGGATTTTACGTTGATCCCGAGACCTTCTGCCAGTGTTCGATAGATCGGGAAACCAGGTCGTGGTATCAAGATATTTTGGCCCCCTCGTGCTAAAGCTGTTATGCAGAGATCGAGGGCGCAGGAACATCCGCTGCACAAAATTACATCCTGGAAAGAAACGTGAATTCGAAGAATAGAATGGTAATATTTACTGTGAAAATCATCTGACTGAAATTGACAATTGTACTGTGCAGTTGACGAACAGTGGAAATAGGTAAAAATTACTTTCAGACAGAAAGATAGACTGACTTGAAGGTTTTAAATTGGACAGTTAGGTACTTCGAGTTTAATATCGTGGAGAATGTTTAAGGAAGACTTAAGTAGAACTTTGTACGAAAATAGGAAGAAATATTATACCGTTTTCGAATTGAAAGCAGCCATTTTATATAAGCTTGGAAAATTTGGATCAAAATTATATAAAAAAAATCGTTACAAAAGTTGCGTTCTTTTGTTGGAAAACTTTCATTCTCTCTTGGACATTTTATTATAAAAATTAAATCTCTTGGATATTGTATTTTATTTTTCTCTCGGATAAAGAGAATGCTTGAGGTGATACAACTTGGGGGACTAGTATTGAAAGACAATACGCAATTTTGTTAATTTTAATACTTTTTCTATTTTACAGTCTAAGCTTTTTATCATTTTGTCCAAACTAAACTTCATTTCTTTTAATATAAATCACAGACCAGTTAAACACTTTATTTAATTTTTGATTATATTTTAAAATTAATGCTTTGTTTCCTTTTCTAATCCTTTTACACTAGACTAGATACTTATTCCAAAAATTCTTACACTGTCTTATCATTTCATCCACCAATTTGATTAATTTCCAATTGTACTATACTATCCAAGTTTCAAAGAAACATAATTTTTCGTTCAGTTACCAGAAATATTTGAAGATAATCTGTAAAACAATATGAAATACTTGGACGATCTGATAATACTAAAATAATTGAAACGTTCGTACATTAACAAGAATATTCGTGTTACGATTTAACCAAGGAAGATTGAATTCGGCGTCTCGGAAGTCTCGATTCGGCGGATTACAGTAATAAGCCACTTATTGTTAGTCACATTTGGCCGCCAGACCGAGGTGCCGACGTTCGGAAGACCGCATGTACCCCCCGTGGACTCACTAGCGCGACACTCGGACGAAAGGTCCCAAAAACACTCGGGACCATAAAACATTCGTCGACCAATAGCCGAACACACCACGTTTTCCACCTCCATAACACAACCACCAATCAGAACCAACCTAATTCCTATATATACATCTACACACCTGAAAACCGGGAATTAACAGTACAACGAGTGCACGAGACACATCGTGAAGAAAAGAATAACCGAATTTCAGCTAAACATCTACCTCAACGAATCGAAAGAAAAGCATCTAATAAAAAACAACTAACCCAACACCAAGTTTCATTCCACCTCGAACCAGCGAGAACTATCATCAACCCGCGCCAGAACTCCTGGTCATAAGACTTGATCAAAGTCCACGACGCAACAGGAAGGAAGGTACATTGAATTACTCGAGTTCACAAGACCTCTATATTTCTAAATACACTTTCCCAATGAATTATTACGAAACGTTGGTTTATAAGCAGTGCAGACAGGCGTTCGTTAATTAAATGTTCGATACACGTGAAATCTTTAGAAGGGTGAAAAAGCTTGGTTCTCCCAGGTTTCATTTCCTGGGGGCGCACTGAATAAAGCTAATAGCAGATTCATTGCACGCCGTACATTACAATTTCCACGGGACAAGGGGAAAGCTCCTTGCATTATGAACATTTCTTTCGACGATATCGATTCTATATGGGCTTCGAAACAGGCGGGACTTTATTTTATATTATCGCGATGAAATCAGGCCAGTCGATGATGTATTGTTTTTAGGTCAGTGTTTGCTCTCGCGACGAGGATAGAAAATACATATCTCGTATTAAACATAACGGCACACGTTGTTTCATTTTTCTTCTCGATGTTTCCCTGAAAGGAAAGTGCAACAAAGATATACGAAACAACTCGTATTTTGCTTTTATTAAATATAGAAGTTATTAATTTTGCTTTGTTCCGTTCTTCTATCGTGTTATTTGCAAGAAATATCGAGCTGCGAATATTAATTTTGTTTTATGAAAGGTACTCTTCAGCGACCTGCTCTACGCGTGTGTTTAATTTTTAGGATCGACGCGAGACGAGTTGTTCAAGTTTTCGATGAAACGTAGAGATACTTTCAACTGTTTAGTGAATTAATGGGAAATTATTCGTGGTGTAAGATTGACGAGAAATAAATATCGAAGTGGAGGAATATTAAGTTCGGTGTGATTTTAGATATTGTTCCATCGAGTACTCCTTTTAGGTCCGAAGGGTTGTACTTTTGCAGTATTTTGTTATTGAGACATTGCTCTGCCTCTTTGCATATTTCAGAAACAGTAGACAGCTTTCTCAGAGTAGAGATTCATTTCTGGAAACCGTCTGGAATAACACAATATACATTCAAATCTTCGTTAATTAATAATTCTCGAACGACGATTATTATAGAATAATTTACCTGCTTTGTGTCTTTAAAAATCACGAAATAAGCGAAATTAAATTTGGCGCCGGGTCAATCTTGACCCAGTGAAATAATACTCTTATAAACGTGTCAGAAGGAAATCTGTTGCACCTTTCATTGACGTAAATCGTCAATTTTCTCAACTTCTTTTCTTTTAAAAAGTCAGTGCGATTTTCAAAAGTTATTCTATTTTGAAAAATAGTCGCCTAGATATGCATATAAAGAGTAAACAAAATACACACAGTGTAAACAAGCAATATTTACTATGCTATTCATATATAGAATATTTTTTTCAATTTTTTTGTTTACATGTAAATTGTGAACATTCGCGACATTTTCCGGTGTGTTTGTGCAAACGCTGGTATAAAATTAACGTCAAATACATTTTTACGACAACAAGTCGAGAGTGTAAACAGAGACAAAATTATAACGGGCGCAACAATGTAAGCACATGGCTTTAATTCGAGTTAATCGAGAGTTAAACAAAAAAAAAAAAACAAAACGACGGAAGATTGTTATAGTCTTCATAATACAGCAGAATTCCTATAATCCGGCATTCGATGATTCGTAATTCATCAACGCTAGTAATCAGTTAAGAGTGCTTTTAAAGCTGCTCACCATTAATGATTAGTCCGATTTATATCACGTTTGGACTTATTTTCATTGAAAAGACGTTACTGTACCAACTATAACCATTTTTAAAATTATTTTTCTCCTTTCCACTGCGTTTCACTGATCCAATAATCCGGCATTGCCGAAATCCCAAGCGTGCTGAATTATCGGAATTCTACTGTACTTAAATTCCAATGATTGTGAAAAATTCCAGTACTGTGTACAGATCAAAGCCTTGGTGTCTTATTTTTTAATACTGTCTCATATTCGTACACTCTCCTCTGTGTCACTGAGAAAAAGGAAAATAAAATGACTTGACAATAGTCGTTGGAAGCATTGCTCTAGTATTTTCGTGAATTTTTAAATGTCGACCTTCTAAATACACTACCGGCCAAAAGTTTGGGAATCACTTCCCACTTTTCGTCAGTATTAAATCTGCTGCTAATTCTTTATCGATTTGAAGTTTATCTCAATTCTACTTTTATCAATTGATTCGAATGATAAAAAATTCTCAAAGTCGCTGACATTTTTCTGGAAATTTTTGTGTAAATTGCAATTGCTCAGTGATTCCAAACTTTTGGCCGGTAGTGTATCTGTATTTGTCGAAAATATTTACACTGTAAACGGTTGCAGAGGAAGGATCCATTGATAGAGAGCGATTGTTTGGACGGAAAACTAAACCAAAGGTATTCGTCTATTTTATCGCGATTGTATCGTCTGTTCCGCAGATACTGGACAGTCTGCAATTAATTCACGCTACTTCTTCTTTCCGAGAAAACGTGGCTGTTAGCTCGCCGTTGATCGTTCGGGAAAATTCAATTTTCATGGGAAATTTCGTCGGTAGATCGATCAACCGGCGGTTTAACTAGATATCGTACATCTACACCGCGAACAACGAATAAATGCACACTTGAGAGAAAGAGAGGGAGATGGAACAGTGTGGTTGCGGATGAACAAGTTCCTATACGCGCCTGGTTACATGTCGGGCTAATTCGAAACGAGATCTAGAGAACTGTGCAGCATCGATGAGGTACACGTGGAAAATTGAAATCGTCCGTGGATATATCGCGCTGTTTTTTTTTTTTTTGTTTTTTGTTCTTCGCGCAACTCGATTATATATTGTAATTCGATCTCTGGATTACTGTTTCGTTTATCTGTATGAAAAATGAATTTATACTGAAAATAAGCGTTTTGGAAGATCGACAGTGAAGGGATGGACGTTTCTTTTTTTTTGTATTGTAGGAAAGTGAAGATTAAATTTATATGCATTGTATAATTATCGAGAATTTATTGGAATATTACAGGTGGCACGTGTTTCTATAAATCTGAAAAATCTTAGCTTTCAGAAATTGAAATCTCCGAAATTATTAATAAAGATTCATTTCGGTGTTTCTATAAACCAGAAAAATCTTGGCTCTCAAAAATCTGAATTTACGAAATTATAAATAAAGATTCATTTCGGTGTTTCTATAAACCAGAAAAATCTTAACTCTCAGAAATCTGAATTTCCGAAATTACAAATTTCGTTTCATTTCACTAACATTATTTTTCTTGCTAAGAAAAATTAATAATCTAAATGGAAATTTGAATTACTGCAATTATGATTTGAATAATGAAAACTGAATGTATATATTGTATTTCTTTTTAAATTACATCTACAAATAGAAAA